ACACACACACACACACATACACACACACACACACACACACTTTGAAATGTTCGTGACATATGCACACTCGCGCACCGATACTTTTTCCAACTTATACTCACAGGCAGGCGTGAACGTTGGCAAGCAGACTGAACATTTCAATTTCAAACAGCTTAAGAATGCCGGTTCTTGGAAAATATGAATAGATATACATGTATCATGTAGGACATGCCAGACTCGGCTGCGTTCGTGTATGGAAACGATGAGACATCAAAGCAGGATCTGGGTTTTTGTTTGCCACTCCCCCCAATGCTGGAATGTGCTAGAATATTAAATACTTTGTCAGACGATGATCCAACATGCCCAAGAGCAAAAAGACATTATGAGGAATCAAGTGTATAATGTGAGGCGTTTATGATGATCATATGTCTGATCTGTTACGTGTGGTAAAACTGTTATTAGGCGTGCGGCTTATCAGTTACTGTTTTCGTTTACGATTTGGATAGAATTATGAGAAGATAAATTGTAAAGATAATAGAAAGATTTTTAGGCAAGGTTTGCAGATCTAAAATGCAGTACCAATTCTACTCGGCCTCTCTTTCTCCCTCCCCCACCTCTCTCTCTCTCTCTCTCTCTCTCTCTCTCTCTCTCTCTCTCTCTCTCTCTCTTTACGTCTCTCTCTCTCTCTTTACGTCTTTCTCTCTTTACGTCTTTCTATCTTTCTGTCTCTCTGTCTGTCTCTCTGTCTCTCTCTCTCTCTCTCCCTGTCCCCCTCTCCCACTCACTCCCTAACACACGCATTCATACAAAAACACATAATGTGAAACGCTCATGGCCGACTTGACCTGAGAATACCTGACGTCCCATGTACCCCGAGAACAAGGGAGAAGTGCCAAGTCCATCTCTATAACGCTAGGCTACGCTCGCATTCAGGCATGGTAGATTCCCCGAGATTCCCGCCAAATTCTGAGATTCCTCAGTGTTTTTGCTCTGTAATCCACCAAACGTGTTGCCGTTGTGTTTTCTTTGCATCCCCTGCCAAGTAATCTCCAACGTATATTTGCCTACCGTGTGTTATCAAAATGTTTGCAATAAATTATCAGAAAAGGGATTTCAAAATTATACCTCCCATTATGTCTATTCGTTTTAATATATGTTGTATTTTTGGATGCTGTGTCGCTCTCAGTACGGGTCGGAACATTCACATATAAATATTATTCAATTGTGTCTTTGATAGCGTAAACCATTCGCAGTCACTTTCAGTGAATATTCCCTCTCTGTTTAAAAAAAATTAGTTAACATAACAAGCCACACTGATCCGTTCCAATTGAATGCTTTCAATAACACTGCCCCGCAAGAAAACAACGTTTCATCCGTTACTTCCGTTGTAGAATCGCCTATATTGATTACCTTACTTTACTATAATTGCCTCATACTCAAGAGTACTTTTGCGTTTTCGTTAACTGTTTCATGCCATTTAATGAGATCTCAGAGATGAAAGCAAAATAACTACTGAACTCCACCCATTCCAACGTCGTCGCATAGCGGGAAGGCAAAGGTACGTGTTGAAGCTATACACACTGCATGCATCATCAGCATAGAAATCAAGACACTAAAGGGCCCGGGAATGGAAAGAGATGGGGCTAACTCGACTAAGATATCCACCATTATTAACTGCTGAACCAATGAAGGCTATTACATGGAAAAAACTGGCAATGTCCAAAACCATTGCCTTTTTCTTAAAATCTCCACTGTGCAACACAAAATAAAATGATATAAATAAAAAAAAGATGAAACTTGTATAAAATAACGCCTAAGTGACTGTTTCAACAGGAGAACACGTACACTTTTGAGAATTGTACAACATATTGTGAAAGAAGCATAAGGTCATTTGACCTAAGCATTCAATTAAGAAATACATGTGACATCACCACTTTTTCACTTGTGGTCTTCAACAACAACAAAAGTAACACCACATGTAAAACATACCAGGAAACGCAGTCACGAGAAAGGATCAAAACTACAGGACTGTTTGTTTTTGTTAGAGTTTAAAAAAAGCACATCGACAAAATCATGGACTTGTAGGCAAGGACAATAACATAACACATAGACAGAAACATCAGAGGCGAAGAAAAGAGGCAGGACCTACCGGTGGCGCCCCCCAACCACCTACAAAAATAAAAGGACAATACACGGAGAAAAGAGTTAGCCTAGCCTGCCTTTATTCATGACGAGTCTTTTCTTTAACCCAGCGTAAACAGTGGTAATAATATAAAAACGCTCGTTAGATCCAGCAAGCAAGCCAGATCATTACCAGTGACGTCAATGTTTCTTGGTGAAAGGACCTTGCTTCTATTACAACAGGACTAGACAAACACACAACAGGTTGCTTTCATGTCGTTATGCATCCGTGGCAAAGAATGGTATTTTAAGATCGCGTTCACAAGATGAAACAAACAAACAATCGAACAGGACAGAAACAGTGAAACGTAGCGAGAAAGGATAAGCCCTATTTTAGGCTACTCTCTCTCTCTCTCTCTCTCTCTCTCTCTCTCTCTCTGTC